TATATATATATACTATAATATATAACATATATTAAAATCCTCTTTCTTTGAAGATAAAAAAAAAAGTTTTCAGTGTACATGCAAAAGAATATACAGTTACACAGAGGGGCAAACTTGGTTTGGCCATGTCCTTTGCTTCCACAGCATAAAGCCAGGAAATGACAAAGTAACACCTGGAAGAGCTTTGAAGAGAAAAATGTTAGGATGCGAGAAAGCTTTGCCTAGCCAAGCTGCTGCTTCTGAAATACAAGAACAGATCAGTACTGTGAACTCTGCAAGGACTGAGAAAACATATCACCCCAGGAATGTTCAAACTCAAGCTCCAAAGCAATGAAAGATGAGTCAGGACATGTAGAAGTCAGGACTGAGGAAGTCACAGCTGAAAGGCAGGCCAGAGTATTATCAGGTTAATAACGGCTATTTTTTCAAATATTCAGAAAGCCCAAGCATTGTACCCAAAGCTAGATGTATATTTAGCATCTCATTTTATGCTCAAAATATGTCAGGTATGGCATTATGCTCATTTCATAGATACAAAAATCAAGGTTCAGGGAGTTCAAGAAATTTATGAAGATAAGCTCATTACTAAGTGGCAGAACTGGAATTTGACAATGTATTCCAAGGAACTTAGGGTTCCTCGATTTATTTATTTTTACATTTTTATTATATTATACGCTTACCCATGTCTTCCGATTGTTCTAAATGAAATATACTATTTTTCCCCATAAGACATCAATAAATCTTCCTCCCAATTAAGCTAAATCCAGAGACAAAGACATAAAACAAATCACTCTAAAATGCTTAATAGGAAAATATCAATAAAGACATTTCAGGTAGATGTCCACATAAAGAAAGTGGGTGAGGCAAGTATCAGGGTCCAATTAGATGGAATTCAATATTCTCAAAAGCATTAAGCAGAATCAGAGATAGCCAGCGTTTGTAAGAGTTCCCTTCCATGCAACCGTGATGAATCAATGCTCCAAACAGCTGGGCATCAGATAACTCATGGAAGGAACTCACAGACAGAAACAGGAGACGGTATTGAAGTAACGGGAATGGGAAGTTCTGAAATACAATGATCCATCTGTAGTGTATATCCCCAAAGGAAAGTCAAGAAAGATTGGCACCCCCACCTCCCCTTCCCTCTGAAACGGACAAACACAACTTCCTGCACCTGTCTTCCAAGCAGACGACTGCACTGAAGAGGCAATGTTACCTTCAGACAGGTGCTGGAGCTGTGGGCAACACCTCACCTGGCACGTTGTGTATGGTGATGGCCAAGATGAGCAGCACAATCCTCCTCCAGCTGCTGCCGCTGCTGGGCTGCACCAGAGTCCCTCGGGAAGGCACCAGGGAAGCAGGGCCCTCTGGAAGGCCAGCAGCTGCCTTCTTCCTCTGATATGCCTCACCATTCTCACTCTTGTCTGAGCAAAAAGAGAGGGGAGGGAA